GGCCTCAATGCAGTCGAAGCCCCTCCACATATGGTCGAGTGGCTCTCAAACCATCCAGGGCCCTGGAACGATCAGACAGCCCACGGAATGATTACTACCGCTACAAAGGTGATGGGGACACGTTGCTATCAGGTGGGCCTTGATCTACCGAATGGATCGCACGAGATTGTGACAGGGTTTAAGGCCGTCAGCTGGTTCAGTTTCGGATTCAGATTTGTATTCACAACAGACCTATATGACACGGGTTTTTCAGTCACATGTCAAAGCACAGAAGTGAGCCTTTTCAAATCACACGGGCTATCTATGTACACGGAAAATGCGAGCGATGCACAATCGCTTGGTTAAGTCTGGATATGTCGACGTGGGTGACATGCCTGGCTGCTGTAATAGAACAGATCACATTCTGTGGTATCTGACTAGGCTAGGTTTGAGAGGACACTGCTGTTCGAGAACGACGCCAAATGCGTGGGTCTGCTGGTTTTTCTTCTTTTGCCTTTTTTAGCTGTTGGTGAAATGTGCACCGACGCTCGTGCAGCTGTGACACACCGCATGCACCGCACAGTGATAAAGAACATCAGAGAATGGAGGTGGCTAAAACCTGTGCGGTGTTCGCCACGGTAACTACATGTTGCCCTGGCTCTAAATCCAGGATTTGGCTTTTCTCGGGATGCATAATTTGCGTGCAGTAACCTATTAACGTGAGGTGTGCCCATATGAGAACAATCAGGAAAATGGCGTCCTGCCTCGTGATATTTTGCCATGTTTAACATGTCTAGTCCTCTACAGGTAAAATGATTACGTGGTTAACACATTCCATCAAAGCTTTCTGGGAGCATTTCGCTGATGGAATTTTCCAGGTCCCTAGCTGTCCTTTTCATTGGCATTGTTCCGCGAATAATTTAGCCATTGCTATATATGTTATAGTAGTGTAATTACATTTATGAAGCATGGAATAGCTGGCCTGCGCCAGCAACCGTCAGTTTCCGTAAATCAGTCAATTGGTTATAGTTGGATAATAAGAGCTCGGTGCTGGGTGCTGATGTTTTCACCTTATTTCAGACCTCTGCGCACACCTGACATTGGTAATTATTTGGAATGCGTGCGTAGCATGTGACGCCGTCCAAATGCAACCCTCTGCTTTTAGGGGGCAGCGGTAGGAGGCGGTGGGCCTACCGCGACACTGCTGTACTGCATTCTGCATTTCGCAGTTTATTGCTCAGTATGGTTGCAAATCATGTACAAATTTCACCGCTGCTCTGTGCGTAAGAACGTCGGTCGTCCACCGTCAACACACACAAAATTATCAAACTGGGTTCGAACTCATCTCGAAGGCACGCGTCTACGGCGTAAGATGAATAACTTTGTGTTGCGCACGTGTACGATAGTGCTACCGCCATGCCTTTTACTATTGCACACTAAAACATACATTTTTATGTCTGGTCCCAGGTGCCTGCATGTTCTGTACCTGCCACGAGCTCAATGAATGCAGACGAACATTAGTTCCAGCCAATTAGTATCTGAAATACGGACCAGCGTTACGTTTGCGCAGTGTATTTGAGCAGCATGTGAGCAAATGACTTTCCATTACTTCACACCAAGATTGGTACGTTTTTACGGAATAAGACATCAGCTGGACGGCTGCAATGTGCTGCAATGAGCAGCATTTGTTTAAAAAACATGGAATTTATCCAACACACCGGTTAAATTTTGACTAACAATTATCACTATGAATTTCATTCGATATTTATATAGCATTTAAGCCGTGTGAAAATGAAATCGCAACAACAGGAATTTCCTCCTATGGTGTATATGCCCCGAACTCCCCAGCGGCTGCATTTGTATATCAGCGCTCAGGGTAATAACATAACTGGGATTTGAAACCAAACTCCTGTGTGGCAGTCCGGCACGCAAACCGTTCGACCATTACGCCCCGCTTTGCAAACATCTGGAAGCGAAGCGAACTGAATGACATGACAACGAATTAGAAGAAATTGGCGACCTGGACGAGGAACGAGTGGAATGATAGCCAGTAACTGCATGAAACCAGCGAATTAAACCGATCTTGTGTGGTGTCATAGCGCCGCTGACTCGCTGATACCCGTTCCAAACCAGCTGACACCCGTTCTCGAACCAAACGCACGAAAGCTTTGTTTCACATGCAGAAATCCCTCAGATAAGGATCGAAATTCATCGCCTGTACCTGAATCATGGTGTTTGAAGCCAATTACACACTGTCTTTCATCGATGTGTCTATAAATTATGCAGCAAAGTCATCGTTGTCTGACCCCTATGAAAGCCCGTTATACCTATGAGGATGAGGTGGGGTGATGCCTTTTCGGACGCTCTGCCCTGCGAATCGAAACCAAGTGTAATCATTGGGCCAGTGAACGCAAGCCATCATGGTATATGAGATGTGATGCCCAAACTCTACTGACCAATGCTCCCGACACAAAACGTTTATAATTTTTCGGACATCGTCCAAACAAGGCTCAAAACTGGCACATCACCTGGCAACAGTGACTTTGAAGCTAATCCGGTATTGTGTTTTGCCTATGTGACTTCAGGTCATCGGGCAAACCTAGCGTTGCAAGGATACGAACGGCAGCAATCGACGGTAAAAGGATGCCGGGAAACTATATGACGAGTGCGGTCCCTGGCAGCGGCATTGGGTACAGAATGCATCCATAACATCCTGTGACCCAAGCTTTGCTAATCAATGTGCCCTAAGAATGCACTATTTTATCGGCAATTGACTATGGGTGCAGCTGCTCTGACTGCGCTGTAGCGATCGCCAAAAACTAATACCGTGCAAGGCGCATGCGCTCAAGTGATAACGGGAGCATTCCGCGCAACACGTACAGACAACATTTCAGTCAAAGCCAACGAATCGCCGCTAGGACTCAGAGGTACAAATCTGAGTTTAAACTACGTCGTAAGAATTATTAAATTCCCCACGCATCCAGTGTTTTCTAAGCACTCCTGCCGAGTTCATGTGGTGAGCTCACAAACAATAGGAGAAGCGTTTCACTACCGACATACATTCGGGTGCAGGACCGAATAACGACAGGAATATCACCCCAAGGACATTGCCAAGCGCAGTGGCGAGCATCTTCCGCCTTGGAGACAACCGAACCCAAGTGTCTGTATATTGCTCACCGAGATAAAGACGAATGCGGTCCTTGCCAACAGCTGCTGAAATAGGCCCTAAGCCCGCTTCGGCGCGTTCTAGCCACATGCAGATATGCACTTACAGCTCGAAGGAAAACTCGGTGCCGGATTTCCTCTTATAAATAGAGACACTGTAAACATCTTTGCATTACAGGTGAGGTGTCTGCACCTGATTTTTGTTACAACGAAGTGTCCACTGTATTCCAAGCATCAGAGACCATCCGACCCCATAAAGGAACACAATTTCATGTTGCAACGGATTCCCTGGGTTCTGCTAGCTCCAAAGCAAGCAGGTGCCAGCAGATCGTCCCCGAAGACAGGGCCTATGCCAGATATCTCAAATCAATTTGACCGAAGCGGAAAAAACACTTGGACTGCTATGGAGCCCAGCCATCCAGATACTACCGCGAAGCAAATGTCATGGCCAAGGTGGTGGTGAGTGGTGACCTGTCGATAAGCACACTCGATGATAAGCGTCAGTGACCTGTGACCTACAGCCGTCTGTCGTCAGCTCTGTGGGAACGGTGTCGTAAGACAGATCCTCCGCCATCGGCGCTGTGTTCTGAGCATATCGCGCCAGAAGAGCAGGTTATAAGAGTGCTGTGTAGGCTTGGTCTACTCTATTCTTAGTCTAGTTCACAGTCCCGTCTAGCATTATTGTAAACACGGTCATCGGAACCTTTCGATTCAGCTGTCTGAGGTTTGGACGGGCCTTAGCACGATACCTTGCGCCGGATTTAAGGTCGTGGAATCGTTAGCGACTGCATTGATGATCTTGGGTTATGCATATCTTTACTCGTACCTTATTTTCTGTTTAATGGCACGCGTCACTGAGACCTTGCGACCAGGTCGTCTGTGTTTCGAGCAGGCCTTAGCATGATAACGTAAATCGGGTGTTAATGTGGTGGCGCGGATGATTGATCACTTTGGTCTTCTGTTTTATCTTTTTACTGGCAGACTCTGCACACCATCGGAACATTTGCCGTCTTCCGCTTCTGCGCGTTTTATGTTCTTTATCTCAATTATGGTTAATGTTGTTCATTGTCGGCCACGAGCAATGCCTTAAAAGGTCGGACATTTCACAAATGAATGATCGCGTTGCATTTTCATTTAACGAGCATCTGGGCATTTTAAAGACGGTAATCTTTATGATGAGACCCCCCGCGCTTTTTCGCATGTCCAAGAGTGCAGCTGACTTCAACATGCTTGAAAAAGATCAACCCCTAGTGGTGCTCAAATGGTAAAAACCTTGAAATAGAACCTTTCCTTTGCGGCCTAGAGGATGATTCCAAACATTTTGTCAGTTCATCATGCCCCACAATTTTTTTCAACAGGCTTTCCCAGACAACATCTACAGGTCATGAAGTTCATGTGTGTTGGGTTGAGGTTCGTAGGTAGGTAGGCGGCGAAAAGTTTTGATCAAGCAATTTACGTTAAACTTTGACAGGATACATAGCAAATCAGCGTAAATTATGTTCTGGCCGACGTTTGAATGAGGGAATTCCATCATCCGAAAAAGCCCACGACGGCGTGTGAGCTTTGATTATGGGTTGGCCGATCGTTAGTGGAAGGCCGTCACCCCAATTAGCAGTGAAGCCAAACCAGTTCCGAGTTCTGAACGTTAAACACATCACGAGGTACCTACAAATCAAAACAAAACATCGCTCGAAACACCAGTGAACCCGCTTACCATTTCTCACCTCCAGCATTCGCGTCTCGCACCCGTACTGACCTTGGCCCCTGCCTGCGTGCGTTCGAGGTCTCCTCCCCCCCCCCCCCGCGTCGCCGCCGCCGCCGCCGCCGCCGCGGTCGAGCCAGTAGTGCTGTGCGGGTCGAAGGGGTCGGACGTTGGGCCCCGTTCCGGGACGCTGACGGGCCGCTGCTGACAGCGGAGCCGAGGCGTCACCGAGCCCCCTGAGGTCCGCGCCCGCTGCCAGACTCCACCAGAGGTCTGGAGAGGGGTGCCGACACGTGCAGGGGCGAGCGAGCGACCGCCGAACTTACCGTCCGAAACAGCAAGTGAGTCAGGATTTGGGCGGGGATCTCCGCCGGCAGGGTCGGAGGGGGGTCCGGTGTCCAGACGGAGAGGAATGGTGGGCGGGAGCAGGTGTGCGAGGACCCTCATTCCCTCCACCTTTTGGCCAGACTTAATCACTTCGACTATGTCTTAACTACTTAACTACTTAACTGCTTTACTTAATTACTTAACTACGACTATGCCTTCGTCTTTTTTTATTACTACTTTACTTATCATTATCATTTTGGTCTATTATTTCCCCTCCTCACGGTGTTCACCTGGGGGTTATATGTTAACAGCATTGAATTAAGGTTTTATGCTAACAGCCTTAACTTGTATGACTAGCTACTTTTAACTTATAATATTGATACGTGTTTAAATGGTTAATGCCATGTGTTGAAAGGGCTGCTATTGAAATGTTGGGTGAAACTAAGAGTCCACATCACATTACAATAAGTTGAACAGGCATTTATGCCGACGCCATGCCGCAACATTAGAACGGTTAGTGTTTAAAATCACCGGGAAGCGAAAGGGCAAAGGGGCACGCCCCCCCCCCCCCCACCCCCCACCCCCACCCCACATCCGCGAGGCTGCTGTCCACGTGTCAACGTGTGCATCAACGTGCCTGTGTCGATTGCCTCGGCGCACTCGACGCGGCATTTGTGACTGTTCTAAACGCGAATGGTTGTGTTAGGTTGACTCTACACCCCGTCATCGATAAAGTCGGAACCCCAGTGAACGTTTCACGCATGTTTTTCGTCCCCGTAAGCGTGTTCCTTTGTTGTGAGATAGCGGCAGGCAAGTCGATTTCGACTGTCCTTGGCGTTTTAGTGCGCTCTTCCCAAGCAGTCAGCTGCAAGCATCGTGCAAAACATCAACCGTTTTATAACCGAGCATGGTCGGTAATGGCTGCCTGTACTCTGCGTGGCTGCAGTGATCCTAGTCTGTCAGCTATCGCCTCAGAGTTCGCGGTTGATAAAATAACTTTTTGAACGCGAAGTACACACCGGATCGTTTTCCGTAAAATAGCACGCTGACAGAGAATGCCCGGCGGTCTCTCATCCCACAAATACAGCGGCGAATCTGTTGGTCGCAAACAAGTTGCAATGCGTGTTATTTGCCTGCGTTCCGTCCTTTGTTGCAAATATAATTCGAGGGCTCTCGAATGCATCCAAACCGTTACTATCTTCAATCTACATTACTCTCTACTGCAACCAAACCCATCGTTTTGTTTCGTTGACTGAAAGCACCTCGCCGAAAGAAAAGCAAGGAAGTTTAACATTTCCGCCTTCGGACGTTTCCGCGTGTGGTATGCTTTGCCGCTCCGACACCCAGATGTAAAAACAGCACCCAGTCCGCACCCGGACGTCATTTGACCCGCTTGCGGAGACTAAAATCAGTTTTGTCCACGTCTTTCCGCGCGATGGTGTTGCAAAGAGTCGGCGTTTTTGCGCCAGCAAAGATATATGACCACTCCGTGCTAATTATCCAAACATTGCACCGTGGCTGCGCCTTTACTGCAGCTGGGGTCTGCTTTAAGCACTAAATCTGCGACGCTTGTTTTCCTACACCATACCATTACGCAGATGCCAGCCGACTTCCCATGACCCGCCACAAGGACTACATCTGGAGAGCTATGCGGAAAAAATCCGGAGAAGCCGGCTCGCCTGAAATGCCGAAAGGACACGATGCGATTTTGGGCCGAGGCGCCCTGCTCGAGCGCTTTACAACAATGGGCGGTGCGTGAGAATATGATGCCGGCACCCCAGGAGACCCGGGAATGTTCCCAAATAGCGTCACGTCGCCGGCCGTAGCCGCGGCTGCAGGGCGCCCCCAAGGCCACGCCAGCCGCGAGAGGAATCAGCGGAGCTTCAATCGCAACGGGCGAGACGCGGCGTAACAGACGCGATCCATCAGCCCGGCCTGCAAACGTGCACGGGCTCGCAACGCGCCGCCCGATCTGACCCTTGACCTCGGCCGGCTGGCCGGCGGGCGCCCGGGGCGACGTCTGGGCGGTGGACGCCGCCGCTGGACGAGGGCGGTGGGTGTGACCCAAGGGCGGGCGGCTGGACGGCGGCGGCCCGGGAAACACCCCGCGTGGGATGCCGGCGTCTGCATCGGCCCGCGCCGGGCACATCTGCTGCCGCTGGATCGTCTGCCACGCCTGGGTCCGGCCCGCTGAAGCGACGCGAGCGCAGGTTTTTGCTCTTCTTCAGTCCGCCGCGGGCTGTCATCAGCTGGCGTCGGCTGTGCGGCGGCAAGATAGATGCGCGCTTCTTCTCGAATCGAGCGGCGGTGTGAGGAGTGAATACGGCTCAAAAGGCATGGTACCTGTCAAGAATGAAATGTGTAATGGGAGGACACGAATTCAAGACGATAGCCAAAAGCGGCAGCCACCATTTATCTTTTGGTCATATGCGACTGATTTGTACACAGACCTCTACATAATCTAGCGCTTGCTTTGACACCACCGCCATTCCGATGCATGTTCTATCGGTTCTTGATGAGGCCTCAGAAACAGATAACCTGACCAACGATACGGGCACGCACATCAGAGTGCACGAAATGCCGCAGGCAAATGAACTGGTGTTTAAGTGAGTACGTACTGCATTGGCTCATCCTTGTCGGCCAGAGCACCTGAATCATTCTGTGTAGTTTGTCCGGTAAAATGTCTCGTTTTCTTTCCACCGGTGAACAGCTGCCGGCTGGTTGGTTGTAGCCGCGCGCCTGTTTTGTCAAAAAGAAAATGTCTCGTCAGAGTCCTGCGGGGTCAATTATCCCGCAGATACTTTATGGAGATACAGCTTATCAGGGCTTCACGGGTGGTGCCCGGGTGGTAATTGAAACGTTTGCTGCAACTCCCGCCGGCCTGCATAATTTGCCACTTAGTTCCCATCCCATATGATTAAGAACGTTCATTTGGTTATCTCGCAAGGTCGAAAACCTTTGAAAAACCCGTCAATATCCCTGACCGAATATGTTTTGTTGCAGACAGCACTGATGTTTGTTACTTGAAATAGCATGCTTTTCAATATTGCAGTGCCGCAGCCATGGCGAAACTCATTAATAGCACGAAGCTCTAACAGCAGATGCGTTTTTCTTCTCGACCATTGAAATACGTAATGCCTGTAGTTGAAATCCACAAGGTCATGGCCTTCGCCGATTGCGATGATTTTCCGGACGCCGGAGATCCATTATCATCCAGGCTATGCCAATGGACACGAATAATTGGACCGAATGCCACGCTCTTGAAACGTCCGGCTTCAAAACCGAATCGTGAGGGATTTCGACCCGAACGCCGTGAGGTGAAGAGTGATTGAGGTGAACTTCTCTGCTTGATTGTGAGGCCACCACATAACAAAAACGTAAAGAATACGTCTCGTGTCCTTGGCACGCAGACGCGAACTGAGCGCGAAGCGAAGCGTCGCTCTCCATCGGCTCTGGATTTGCGTTTTTGCCCTGCATGCCCGCCAGCTCTGGCCCCGTCATCGGTCAGACCTGGCCTCGGCTCTCGCCCTGGGCGCGATCCCTCATTGCGCCGTCGACAACGGTGGCGAATGGAGCTGCTGATGAAGGAGACCGGGCCGTCACGAGACCCGCTAATTAATCTCATTAATCGGAAGGCCGCCGTCAAAACCTGCCCATCGCGCCGCTGCTGGAGACCCGACCGGCGGCGGTCGGCGCCACCACCAGGCCCCGCGCGGGGTCACGACCCGCCAGCCGAGCACCGCCGGAAAACAGATCAGTGTCGAGCGCCGTCCTGCTGCAGCCTTGGCTGCTCACAGGACGGCGCCTTCGCGGACGTCGTGGACGATTCGCGCTGGTGTTTTTGCGCGCCTGGCACGCTCGGCGGCGGCAGGCGGCGCGCAGGCGCGGCGCTCGTCAGGCGGACGTCAGGCCTGCGTCGGCCCGCGCGCCTGCGGCCAGGCCCGGGTGTACAGGCGGACAGGCGGACAGGCGGAGAACCGGCATCTCTTCCACTTTTTGATGAGCCTGTGGTGGCTTGTCGGGCTAATGGTTTGAGCTGCCTTCAGCGGAAGGTTTTTGCTTGCGACGCTTTGTGTGATGCAAGGAGTTTTCGGGTTTCCGTGCCTGCTCAGCAAAAACTTCGCAGCGAAGCTGTAACATTTATGGTCGTGTAACTCTTCCATCCAAGAACGCTGGCAAGAAACCATTTTCCTTGCCCATTACGTTTTGGTCGCACTAGTCTCCCTGCGTGCGAGTCGCCATGGCCGCGCGGGCTCGCGTGAACTAACCAGCGCACAAACACCATATTTGCGCCGAGCAGCACGGCACGCCTCGTGCGCGGCTGCGTGACCTCCGCGATCCGCTGCGGGCTCGCGATTCTCCGCACCCGTCAGCCGTCTGTCTGTCGCGGGCCGGCTGCCTGTCGACCGGGAGGGGCCGGCGGGCCTGGTCAGAGGCCGGGCCGGGCGGCTCGAAAACACGCGACAGCGCCGACAAAAAGGCCGCGACCCTGGCGCCGCGCGGCCGGTGCGGGCGGAACGGAGTCGGCACGACGCGGGGAACTGGAACGGCAGGAACGAGGAAGCTCACGTCTGGAGGGCGGGACCGGCCACCACGGACGCAGGGGAATGCTGGCAACTGGACGGCAGGAGTGGAGGTGATTGGAACCCAGGGAACTGGAGCGGTGGTGAGATGGTGGCAGGGGGCTAAGGGGCGGAGTCTGGTCGCTCTGTACCAGAGTTGTTCCCGCACTGTTTAGTCACAAATAACCGTTGCAGCGGTATCGGATGATGTGAGTGACGGGTCAGGAAACTGCTAAGATAATCAAATTAAGTACGTGGATTAAATGATTCGTGGAGCCGCAAAGAATTGTCAATTACGCAGATTAAGTGCACTTGCGAGGAATATTGTGCATATATGATATGATAAGACAGCGCTATAGCTTTATTCCTCGCAGAACAGCCAGGAAAATGAAAGAATGGCAATTGAACTGACATTCGTTTCGATGAAGGCATGCAGTCGAAATATCAATCCA